TCATGAGACAGCACTGCTGCCACTGCAAAAGCAGGATTAGCATTTTGGCAACAGCGAGAAGCACAGATAGCCATTTTAGCTGAGTCAGCACATGGCTGAGATGCGTAAATTAACACCACGCCTACCAACCACGCCCATTTATGTCAAAATATTTGCTGCGCTTCGCGCGCAGCAATTTCCGAACCCCCTATTTCAAGTTCCTGGCTACGGCCCTGCTATCATGTGATTAATAATGGAATAGAAGAACAACTGGACATGAAACTAAAAGAAATACTAAATTTTATACATAAAGCATTTTAAATTATTTATTATTAGTTTTAATAAACCTCACCCTTGAATTCCTGGAGGCAGTGGAGGGTTGGGGCTGTGCAGTGATGGCTACTGATGGAGATAACTCTTCTCTAGGTTGGTATATTCTTACTTTAACGTGCTCCAGATTAGTTTTATTGTAGGTATTGGTGACTTGCATGATGTCAAAACTGAGCTAAAAGAGTTTACTACGTCTGACTGGAGGAAATTTGGATCAGTAGCTGGCCTCAAATACAATACTCTTAATAACATACAAGAAAACAAAACAAAAGTTGAGGATCGTTTTGAAGAGTGCTTGGCTTGCTGGTTGAGAAGGAAGGACGATGTTGACAGTAAAGGAAAGCCATCATGGAGGAGACTAGTTGAGATATTAGAGGAACTTGGAGAACGAGCCTTGGCTGACAAAATTAGTAACAGAAAAGGTAAATTGCTGGGTAAATTATTAAGTATTATGTCATGTACTAATGTTACATTTAGAGATTGTCTGGCTACATGAAACCAGTGTACCAGTGCGGCTGGGAGAAACAAAATTGTTTAGTTTATCAGATCCTACTACCTCCTCCTCCTCGTCCTCTAATGTAGTACATGAATCAACGTCAGTATCATCCACTGGAGGAGCTAGTAAGTGATAATACTAGTCTTGCTAGCCAGGCCATTTCCCATCCTACATCCACCCAAATGACTGTAGGCTGGGAATGCGTCACGAGAGTAGGATTTTCATTTTGTATTTTTGTTAGTCGTTCAGAATCCTATTTTTTCTTGTTTCCATTACTTTTTTACAAATTTGCTCTAGAATCCTACTCAATCTCGTTTTTTAATTAGTAAGGGTTTTGCTTAATCATTCCCAATTTAAATGCTATAACAACTTGAACTGTACAGGTATAACTATATACATTAGAACCTGTAACTAGAGATGGAGCAAAAGTTAAAGTTTTGGAAGATTGGTTTAGACTACACTTGTATACTAAGTATAGAATAAACCTACTCATTTTATAGGTAGTGATTTGATGCAAGAATTATCTGAAAATAATGATCTACTGGAGAAAGTGATAGTATCATCAAAACATGCACAGAAACATACTACATATGCCGGTCTGATTTATTATGAGGAACGTGGTGTAGAAGACCTGGTGACATTCACTGCAGCTAGGAGATTAGATGCTCTTCTTGAGGTAGTTTTTTTAATCATCACTTGTTTATTATTTTACAGTTTATTGAGGAAAAACATCCTCAAGCTAAACTAGGACCTCATGTTTACTTCCGTATTGCATCTCCTGATGGTTTTGTTGAATTGAATTTAAATGCTTCACAAGATATGCCATATGAAGGATGGAGTGTTATACCTCACATAACACCTTGCAGAGTATGTACAGTATTAATGTGCATTTTTCATTCTAATAATAATTATTATTAAAAGTTTTGCAATTTTTCCTTCGAATACATGTACTTGTTTATACTGTTACTTTTGTTGCTCATTCCCATAGTTGTATCAAGATGATATTGATAATTTTGGTGATGAAGAGCATCCTCTTCCTCCATCTTGTCCAATATCAGTGTATGGATCACCTGATGCTGTTTCTACACTAAATTACTCTGTACCATTGGAAGGTGTGGCTGATCCTGTTACATTATATATTCGTAGATCACTGAGAACAACAAGTAATAACTAAATCATTTCAATTGTTTATTTATTTATTTAATGTTAATCAGATCCTACTACCTCCTCCTTCTCTAATGTAGTACATGAATCAACGTCAGTATCATCCACTGGAGGAGCTAGTAAGTGATAATATTGTGTGTATATACTGACCTTTGACCTCTATTAGGTCCATTAGCTACTGTTGATGTCAATAAAGTAAAGAAAGTGATCGATGATGTTCTTATATCTCATTTTGCTGCTCTTAATTCTCTTAAGACGTCTCTCTCAGATCTTGCCAGTCAGTTATATGCAGCTGGTCTTATTAGTGATGAAGTCAGAGAGACTCGTAGCATGGAAAAGTTTATTACAGAGTTCATGGCTAGTCTTAGTTTTATGAGAAAGTTACCTCAAGTGCAGGAGCACTGTCAAAAGTTCTTAAGCTCATTCATTGCTGTAAGAGGTAGTTATGCTAATGCAGCAATAGCTTTAGCTGAGGACTGGATTGAAGCTATCAGGAATGAACTGGGACTTGATTTTAATATTAATATTGATGATTACTAAACTCTAGTGCATTATTAATAGTATTGGCTATATTTTTTAATAGTTTTTATTTTTTACTGCACAATCACTGATCTCAGTGCATTATTAATTGTGGTTGGTCAATTAAGGAGGTGTGTTTGTCCCGCCCCTCTATTGCTTAAAATCCAAAATGTCTTCTCTTTTCTGGCTCCTCTTTTGAAATTACCTCACAAATTACACTCTCTCTCGTCCCCCTCAGTCAATGGCTAAGACCAGTAAAGCAGCTACTCTCCCTACAGTATCAGTACCTGATTCATCCATTGACCTACTGCCTGGTGAGTATTCAACAACTGTTCACATATTTAGATTATTCTCCCATACATGTATATACATGTTGCTTAATCTATCCACCCCTACTCTTTATTATCAGGAGAGGCACTGGTAGGCCATGCTCCTGATACCCAGCAGTTACTGTATGAGTCAGAGGGACCTGATAAGAGTCCTGGGTATATCTATGGGACGCTCTACATTACTAATCACAGACTATCATTCAAACCAGCTCCTTTCAACACTGATAAAGTATGACCTCATTTTAATATACAGCAAATAGCTTTTAAATGTGTCATTACTTTATTTTATCACCTCTCAATCTTTCTCTCCCTCCTCCTCCTCTTAGCTCTCTCCATTGGACAGGTCCTCAGTAGTCAAGAGTCATTATATTCCACTGAGACTGATACTACAAGCATACACTAGTAAGCCACCCCATCAGTCAGTCAGTCATTACTATGTTCCTGTACCAGTATTTACTAATACTGTATCAATGTAGAGTAGGTTGGGTTGTGTATGGTATAATGTATTTATTCATCTTGTGTGTTGTTGTTGTTTATTTGTTATTTTAAACTTTACAAGTAGCAGCTTTTCATACATGTGCCCACACTTACATTATGTAGGGTATTTGTGTTTACTATTATTTATATCATTAATTTATTAATTAATTTTATTTATTTATTTATTTATTTGTTTGTTTATATTGTGTCTAGTCAGCAGTAATAAGAAGAGGCTTGTCACTGCCAAGTCAACTCTGCCAAAGAAAATAAATGAACTGGAAATAATCTGTAAAGTAAGAGAGAGGGAGGGAGAGGGACAGTAGTGATGGGTTAATCTTCTTTCTTTATTCTCATTATTCAGGACTTGAGAAAGGTTGTGTTCAGTTTCAAGAGTTGCTCTAAGTCTGATGTAGTACATGTAAGTATAGCTATACTACTATACCAGTACTGCACTGGTACTGTACTTATACTGGTACTGTACTGTACTGGCCTGTACTTATACTGGTACTGTTAGTGTACTGGTACTGTTAGTGTACTGACCTAGACTGGTCTGTACTACTGTTACTGTATGTAGTTATATTGTGTATATCCTAATGCACTTCCTTTTTAATAAATACTTGTCAGTGTCTTTATATGTCACTTCTCTCAGTGTATAACCTTTACATATTAAACTGAAGTGTGTGCCTATTATCTGTAGGTTGTCAATTCCTTTGGGATGTATTCCTCTCCCAGTAGTGTCTTTCATCTCTTTGCTTTTGATTACGCTCGAGTAGTTCATAAAACTAAAGACACTCACTCCTCATCCTCCTCTTCTTCTCAAGGTGAGGAGATGTCCCTCCATTACTAGAACTAAGTCTCTTAGTAAATTGTGGCTACTAATTTCCCTCTCCCTCTCTCTCTCTTTCTCTTTCATTAACAGATGTCATTCCAACTTATTTCAATCCTCGTGACTGGCAGAAGGTAATAAATAATTTAATAGAAGGCACACGATTATTTTTACAATATTAATAATACTGTACTATATTTGGAGTCTATTATTTCATTCCATTTTGCCATTAATTACTGAGTGAGTGATTTATATCCTTCAAGTGTTAATAGAATGTAATGAGGTCATTTTATTAATAATTATATACTTTCCTTATAAGGAATTGGATAGACTAGGAGTGAACCAGAAGCAGTGGAGGGTCACTGAGGCTAACCAACACTTCCTCCTCTGTGACAGGTTTGTACTAATAATAATAATAATACACTTCATTAATGATACATGATGTTGGTAGCTTTGACATATTGCTAATAATTGTTGGTCTTAATTTGACATATTTCTGGCCATGTGTTCCTAAATCACCATCAATAGAGTATAATATCATTTATTCCTTTCCCTCCTCCTCCTCTTAGTCTCCCTCCATACATTGTGGTCCCATACAACATCAGTGATGATACTTTAGAATATGCTGCTGGCCTCCATTTCAAGAACCGTCTACCTGTAAGCCACACCTATTAATTAATTACTGCTATTATTATTATTATTATTATTATTATTATTATTATTATTATTATTAATTGGTAGGTGTGGTGTTGGAGTCACAGTGTCACTGGTGTCTCATTAACCAGAGGATCATTACCTGATGAAGACAGACTAGAGGCACCTGATCCTAGGTCAGTGGAATACACTGGACAGGAGGGAACCCATTACACTGTCTGATGCATATACATGTACTTATGTTGTGTAGAGAGATTGAGCTGATTCCAATTAAGTTTAGATTTTCTATGATTTTTTAAAGTTGCTCCAAAATCGGACAAAAGTCCCTGTACTATATAGTACAGGGATTTTTGGCCCATTTTCGTCAAAAATGAAAAGGAGAGAATTCTGCATTTTATTACATTTCCTGATACATATACATGTTCTTATGCTGTGTAGAAAGTTTGAGCAGATTCCAATCAAGTTTAGATTTTTTATGATTTTTTAAAGTTGCTTCAAAATTGGACAAAAATCCCTGTACTATAGTACAGGGATTTTTGTAAAATTTCACCAAAAATGAAAAGGAGAGAATTCTCCATTTTTATTACATTTTCTGATACATATACATGGTCTTATGTTGTATAGAATGTTTGAGCTGATTCTAATAAAATTTGGATTTTTTATGATTTTAATATTAATTTTTCTCATCATCACTAGTTACATGTATGCAGTGGCGATGGCTAGGAACCTTGAGGTACAGGTAGAGAATAAACTGGTGAGACAGTATCGAGTACAAGAATATGTAGCAGCAACTGCCAGAGAAATACAAACAGCTTATTCTAAACTAATGGAAGTGTGTACCATCAGTAAGTGAGAGTTTAATGGGAGGAATATGTGAGATCCACAAACTGTTGGATTACTGATACTCTGTACTGGTACTTTGAGTGTGTTCATCCATAGATAGTTCATGTGCTTCTCTTTATTGTTCAGGTACGTGTCATGATTTAGCCAGAGCTGATCAGAAGTGGCTGGCAACACTTGATTCTTCTCACTGGCTCCATTATGTCAAGTAAGAGAAGGAACATACTGAGGGACACTCTACAGGAGTTGGAGTTTTAGTGACAGAGAGAGGGAGAGAGGGGGAGGGAGGGGGTGAGGGATTGAGTGGAGTTTTGTTTTGTTTTTGTGTTTAGATGAGTCTATAAAAGGTCACCTTGTCTTGAAACCTAAACATACACTACCTGTTACATAATGTTACATAATGTTATATAATGGGATGTCATTTAGATTCTACATGTTCACCTACTGTATCTAGAATGTAATTTATACATGTACACCTGCTAATACCAGTACTAATACAGTGTACATTAGCTGTGCTACAGTACAGTAGCAGTATTGGTGTGGTATAGACTGATCCTCCTGTTAGTGTCAGGTGGTTGATTGTTATTATAAGAGCTGGTCATGTGCCTACTGGATATACCTGCAGCTGCATTCTCCAGGACCTAATATAGACATGACTAACAACCACTCCAACCCATAACTGAATGAACTGTATAATCCATAGGTACAATGGTCACTGCTCTATTGTATACTGTATGATGATGATACTGTATACTAGTGTGGAGTGTATAGCACTGTGTATGTACATGTAGTTGTGTTTGTGTTATTGTTGTTGATTGTTTGTTTATTATTTCATTTCCTAATGTCATCAGGTCCTGTTTATCCCTTGCCAGTGATATAGTGAAGACACTGTGTGAGAAGAGAACCAGCTGTGTACTGCTAGGTGAGGAGGGGGAAAGGGTGGAGGAGGGAGAGGAGGAGAGAGGGGGAGGGTGTGTGTGAGTGAATCCTCCTAACTGTCACTGGTATGTTTGTCTTTCAATGTACATACTGTACATATGTACAGTATTTACAATATGTAAAGTATGTAAAATTGATTTTCTATTTCTAATTCAATATATCAAACACTAATCACTGTTCTTCCTCCTTTTTGATATAATCAAATTACAACTAGTCATGTGTCATTAAATCATACCCACACACTAACCCACTGATACAATATAATAACCTCTTATAACTGAATGTATTTACTGTACTGTATAGTGGACACTGTATAGTGGACACTGTATAGTGGACGCTATATAGTGGACACTATACAGTATTACTCATTCCTTCAAGTGGTTGTGTCTCTTTACTAACAGATCAGAATGACAGAGACTTGGCTTGTGTCATCTCCTCTTTGGTCCAGATAATGGCCGACCCACACTACAGGACCATATCTGGGTTTGAGTCACTAGTCCAGAAGGAATGGGTAGCTATGGGTCACCCTTTCACGACCAGGAGTGGATTAATAACTGACGCTCCTTCCAATGAGGAACTGGTACCTGATGGACAGGTAAGACCACACCCCCTCTCACTGACTGTATTCAGTATAACAGACACATGTACATGTTAACATTAATACTCATTTACTGTATTAAATACTAACAGTATCACTACCTACAGACAGTGATAATAATGTTTTCTATGTTTCTTTTATTTTCTGTTTCATTTTCATTCCCAAGGCTCCAGTCTTTGTCCTATTCTGTGATTGTGTCTGGCAGTTAACTGTTCAGTTTCCATCAGCATTCCAGTTCACTCCATCTTTCCTGGTCAAGTTTGTCTCTCTCACTGCCAGTTCAATATACAGCAACTTTGTCTTTGATTCAGCCAAAGCTCGAGTTGAAGCCTCCAACCACAGCAAGAGAAGCAGCTACTACGTGAGTCAGTTGGTGGACCTGCAGAGTAGCCACTCTGATGCTGAGAAGTATGAGGGTCCATTGGTCTCTGCCTGGGGCAAGTGGAGGAGCTCATTAACAGCTGAAGAGACTGAGAACTGGTTGAACCCGTTTTATTATATATTTGGATCAGGTGATGCTCATAATGAGTTCACGTTTACTGGAAACCTGTTGCCTTTTGAGTCTTCAGTTTTCAATTTGTTATTTTCGGATATGCTCCCTGATAAAACCTCAGGAGGTAATTTTGGTCTATATTCCGACCAGCCCCTCCCTCTACCCCTCAGCTCTCATGAGCTCACTCCAGAGAGAGCAGAGCAGGTATCCCTTCACTCCATTAGTTCTTCCTCTCCTTCTCCTCTACTCCTCCCCAACACTGCAATGCCTTCCCTTGTCTTCTGGGCTGATTACTTCTTCCGATTCATTCCTGACTATTCCTCCACTAAACTCACTGTCTCTAACTCACAGCAGCTCCAGAGTAAGCTAGTGAAAGAGGTTAGGAAGCTAAAGGAAGCACTTAATGACTTAGAGCTGGAGAGAGGAGAACAGACGAGTGACTTCTCTCGTTTCATTCGTGAGATTATGAAAGCAAGAGACGAAGAGAAGAGACTCCGGAAGCTAAAGAGGGATGCTTCTCATGAGATTGCTCGTCGGATGTCAGCGTTCATCACCATGTCATCAGAGGACGAGGACTGTGACCGGAGTCTTGATAAACTCAACTCTCCAGTTGGTTCAGTTCATGACAAGGCTAAGACTCTTCCAGCTAAACTTGATGATTCTCTCAGTAAATTTGCAGACGAGCTCCATAACAATGGGGAGGTTGCTAAGCGATTCTTGACAGCCTCTACAGGTGGAACTGGTGGGCGGAGTCCAGTACTCAAGACAAAGATTACGATACAGAAAGAGGACAGTAGTCAGAATCCGTTGTCACCAGCTTCAAGATGGTTAGGGGCGTCTCAGTTGACCCCGCCCACTGCTAATAGCCCGATAATGCCGAGCCCACCCATCACCATGCATAAGAAGATGATTGGTACAGTAATGGAGGGAGGGAACAGTCAGGACCATGAACTGATTGATTTATAAAGTTGATGTTATCACACACACCACATTATGATTAAATTATTATTATTATTAATATGTTCTGCTGCAATTGCTGTGTACTTCTCTCTCTCTCTTTATGGTCAGTCATTATTTAATTTTATTCAATTTGTAAAGTAACATCTTTTAGTAGAGTTAATGACATCCATTTCATTGCCCATTTCTTTTGTATTATACTGCCATGTTAATAGTACACTCACTGATTGAAAGGATATGGTTAACATTAAGAAATCAAAAGCACTATAGATAATAGCATGTAGTTATGGGAAGCAAAGTTAGAAAAAAAATAGAAAGTAGCTTAAAGGAAGAGTAAGAGTTTTTCACATTATACAGTACAAAGACAACTAGTTCCTACAGCAGTGGTGAGGAGAACCCTCCTCTCTCTCTCTCCTCATTAAACAGTGGGGTAAGAGGCATCAGTGGCTATACCACACTTGTTGTCCTTCCTAACAATCTTGAAGTATCCCTGCTGTCCCCAGTCTGGGCCCCAGCTGTTCTTGACGAGCCAGTAGGGTTTCTCCTCATGGAAGAGACCACTTGGTTCGGTTCCATACCCAACGGCCAGTACACCATGGTCAAGACGAGTGGAGGAGCAGAGGAGAGGGTCGTACACTCCAGCTGCATACAACTGGAAACTGGAGTGGCTGGCGTCCATAGCAACTGAGATGGGGCCTACGTTAGCCACAGCATCCTGAAGGCCATCAATATCATCATGAGGAATATCCTTGTAGCCAGTGCAGGTCGCAGCTACTGCTGACTGTTGGAAGCGACACTTTCCATTCTTAGCTTCATAAGGATAGCTAGCCTCTGAGTCAATACCTCCATTAGCCTCAATGTATTTGAAAGCATTGTCCATTAGACCTCCCTGGCAGCCATGGTTACCATACTTATCGGAGCAGTCCACCAGCTGCTGCTCTGAGAGACTGGGTAGGGTTCCCTTCTTGAGGAAAGTCTGTCCCTCCAGTGACCCGGTGGTGGAGAAGGCCCAGCATGATCCGCACTGCTTCTGGTTCTTCACTGGAGTCACTGCTCCCTTTGTCCTCCAGTCCACAGTGTCTGGTAGAGCATTACCAGTGGGTACATGGTATCTGGTTGCGTTGCTCTTCCTGGCGGACCGCCTGTAGCCATTGTACATTGCAGCAAACTCGGAGGACTCTAGATCAGCGAATGCGTTCATCTCAAGAGTCCAGCCCCACTTGTCAGCGTTTGCATTATGCTCCAGAACTATCTTCTTGTTTGCCTCCCAGATGGTTTGACGGTACAGCTCTTCCTTCTCGCTGGAGTAGTCCTTTCCGTTGGTTCGCTTCCATAGCTCCCATTCAGCTGTATATTCAAATGCTGTGGCACAGACTATGAGGGCAGCAACTGCAATAAGAAGTTTCATGATTGTCAAAGAGAATCAAAAGAGACGATTGGACGACTGGCGCGACAAAGAGAGTGCTGCGTGTAAAATGATCTTTTTCGCTTTGTGACCTTTTGATCATGTGAGCGCGGGAAAACATTCTGCGCAAGCTCACTCAGCCCACGTGACCCCACGTGGTATGAATAATAGACTAGGTGAATGTAAACATTGTGGGGGCGAGCATGAGCCATTAATAAAAACAATTGAAATATGATTGAACTAAATAAAAATCAATCTAGCTGTTAGCCTGCATGCATATTCAGACCCCGGCCTTATGGCCGGGGTCTGAACAGAGCAAACACCAGTTAACACAACCAAAATAACCCAGTAAAAGTGACAAGAATGAGTCCTGCCACACTGAGAAAATGTACCAAGTTAAACTTCTAATCTACTAGCTTCCATCAATTACCATTTGAAATAAGATTGAACTAAATAAAACTCAATCCAGCTCTTAGCGTGCATGCATATTCAGAATTTCAGACCCCATCCTTATGGCCCAGCAGGGTCTGAACAGAGCAAACACACCATTTAACACAACTGACCAAAATGACCCAGTAAAAGAGACAAGAATGAACTGTCCTGCCATTCTGAGAAATGCCAGTGCCAACTGAGCTAAACTTCTAATCAAGCTTCTCTCACAATTATAATTCTTTTAATGAGAGGACTAATCTAGAGAAGTCTTAGATCAAACTGCTTTTAAGTTCTTCAGCCTTTAGAGATGCTTTAGACAGCCCCTCTCTCTTATCTAACTGTTAGAAACTCAGTCCATGAATCTGAGTTAAAATGTCCGCCATCTTGCTATTTTGACCACACCCTCTAGATTAATTTTGCCCACGTGGTCCAAATTTATCAACAATAGTATACTAATTTAATTTTCGTATTCTTCCGTTCATAAACAAGACGTAACGCAAATAGACTAGACAGATTAGTGTGGGTCTCGCTCATGCTCGCCCCAATTAATAAATTGCTGAGCAATCTTGTAGCTGAGCTGAGCTAAGCTTTCAAAAGTACTAGGTGAATGTAAACATTGAGGGGGCGAGCCATCAATTCACATTGTTTGATAAGATTAAAATTATAATAAAT